GGCCGGTTAGCTCACTGGGTGAGCGTGGTGCTGACAACACCAAGTCAAGGGTTAAGATCCCCTTACCGGTCATCTTTTTAAAAAAAAAAAGTACTTCTTGCATTTTATATTAGTTACCCAAGAAAAGTCTGAGGCCTTTCCTAGAAAAAATTCATTTTCTGGTGGAAGTGCTGGCCACTCGTTCATAATAAAACCAAGTCCACATTCAAGAGTGGATCTGGAGATACAACCTCCTTCCAATAAATCACCCATTCTGTAGAGAGGTGCATGCATACAGGAGCCAAACCCTCCCATATAATAAATGGCCATGAGTTTGACATACTTCAGAAGGTGTCAGTAACACACACACTTATATAATTTAATAAACAAGAAAGCACAGTCATGCATTCCTAAGAAAAACAGGAAAAGCAAGACATATAAAGCTTGGGTGTTTCAATTAGCAGAAAGCCTCTTTTCAATCTATGCAGAACCTCGTTTTTTAAATTTAAAAGCCAACACTTCTGAGTCCTCTCTTTGTTAGTATTTAGAGGTCTGCTCTCCTCTCCCTGTTATTCCTCTTTGGGATACAAGCACCCAGCACAGGCCTGGCACAGAGAAGGTATTTAATACTCATCTGCAGAAGGTAAGAAAGAAGCCGTAAGAGGATGAATTGGAGGCCGCCTTAGTCCTACTGCAGAAGGTTTTACATCAAGCCCAGCTAGGGAGTCGGGGGTAGAGCAGGGGATGATGCCCAAAGCTTGATCAATAGGCTCCTTCCACAAAATCACATAAATCTACACCAGCTGCAATCCTCCCCCAGGGAGAGGGAGAATTTGACAACAGAAAAGCCACCGTCTAGAGGAGCGCTGTGAGGAAGCGCAGCGGCCGGCCGTGCCTTTTCGTCCTGGTACAGCTTGTTGACGCTCTCCAGCTGGATGCTGTGGCTCGACTGGATCTTGTCGAGCTGCTCTCGCTGCTTCTCCAGCTCTCCCTGGAACTCGTTCTTTTTCAGCTCCACGGCACCTCTCTCTGCGGCCGCCCTGCGGACCCTGCCCTCCAGCTCCACGATCCGCGTCTGCAAGGAGACCACAGTGTAAGGGCCGAAGTCAACCTGTCTCCGAGACCTGGGCTCCCTCAACGAAGACAACTCAGGGGCCGAGCCCACACCCAGCCTTACATACACACTATGTTCCAAGGCCAGCCTTACATACACACTATGTTAAAAGACTCCGTGTTTTAAATCAATTGTGCAGAAGCTACAGCAAGTTTTCTTATGGAAATGATGCTCTAAGTGGAGGAGTGCAGTTCTCTGAGCTTCCATGACTCCACTGAAAAATGGAAACACCTCCACATCCCTTGAAGGGTTTTTGTGAGGTTTAAAGGAGGAAAGCACAGAGAATGCCTCATGCTTTACCTGGCATGAGGTGGTCCTCAAATATTTAGTTCCTCTGCCCTGTAACAAAGCACTCAACAAACAAACAAATGGGCTGGCTGGTGGCTCACTTGGGACATGGTGCTGACAACAACTCTTTATCAGACAGACAAAATTTCTGAAAACAGACTGACTTCTCCAACTCCAGACATATGACCTCACCCGCCCAGAGAGCAAGAGCCCCCATGGAAGCTCAGACACAGGGCCTGCAACCCTGCATGGGTGAGTGTGACAGCAGGACAATGTGGAATATACTATAAAGCAAATGTACTTCACAGGGCCTGGTTTTCCAAAGCCTTGCAGTTTCAAATATTGACCTTGTGGAGGACTGGAAAATTTCCTCAGGCTATAAAATCTCTGGTGTAAAATAAAGATTTGTGGCACAGCAGGTTGCTGTCTCAAGAACAGACAGGTTACTGCTTGATGTGTGTAGATACTGGAAAACTGCTGGAGGGAGAAGGAATGTTTGCTAAGATCAAGCTGTTGTTGATAGGACCACTTAATTGTCTACTGGAATGTCATCTGGCTTGTTTCACTGAAAGTTACCAGCCTATATTGTTAAACTATAACCCCACCTATGTTCTCTTCCTGTAACTTCCTGGTCTGGAAAATAAATGCAGGAAGAGAACTCCAATTTGGGGTTAACTTCCCGAGGAAGGGTTGCCTCTCGCTGGAGGGTCCCAGGGAAGTTAACCGCTTCAGGGCTTCTCACTGATCAGAAGAGATGGGCTTTGAGTAATCCTTTGCAGCTCCATCACCCAGGGGAAGTGGGGTGACAAATCCGTGGGTGGTGAAGCAACACAAAGCAACAGAACAACACACAGACAAAGCCCAGAGGGGATGGAGCTCCATGGCCAAGAGCTCGTGTGTGTCAGAATCCCTGCTCCACCTGTACTTAACCTCTGTGCCTGTTTGCCCACATGTGAAATGGGGATGTGTAAAGTCCCGACCTTGTAGGTTTTGTGTACAAAAGGAGACAGTTTGTGTAAAATGCTGTTAAAGAAAACTTATCCTGACACTTGTTAAAATGGTAAGGAAGACTTTATTCAAGACGATTGCAACGGGAGAGAGAAATTATGCTCTACTCTAAAGAGAGCTCGGTATGCACAGCCAATGAGCAGAGCGACGTGTCAGTGGATGGAAAATTACAAAGAGGAGACATCAACGGTAGGGGGATTCTTGCTAAAGGCAGGCCAAGGACTTTGTCATCAAGGGTGGGGATGAGGAGCTTGATTCGCTATCAAGGTTGGGGGAGTGACTTGCGGGAAAGGAAGAGCGAGGCCTAGATGAGAAGAGGGCTCAGAAGAGCCTGACTAAAATTTAGTCAGGAGAGTCCGTCATTGCTCAGCTCCGTGCCTGCCCCATGACTGGCAACGATAAATGAGAAAGCAAAAATTATCATCATTAAATGACCGTGATAGGCTGCTGGTTGGCTCAGTTGGTTAGAGAGCAGTGTTATAACACCAAGGTTAAGGGTTGGGATTCCCTAAACACCAGCTGCCAAAGAAAAAAAAAAAAGATAATGATAAAGATCAGTAGCTTTAAAAACATTTCTCACAACAATCATCCAAATACATTTTCAGCACGGCTCTCTGAAATCTCGTGTGGACTGGAGGATGAGGAACCAGCTGTAGCCAGTGTACTTAGGCAAGCTGTCTTCCCAGGGCCACCCCAGATGGCTGAAAATTGTTAAACTCTCAGGAACAGCAGAGGGAGGTGTTTAAGCAGCAATCCTAAACATTCACAGAGGGATCCCCTCCCACCCAAAGCAGAGCTAAGGTGGAGAGGCCGCGACCGACTGGGGCGGGTGTGCACAGGGCCCTAATCTCATGTGCACTGGGTTCATGCCTCAGGGGACAATACACAGCAAACCCCCAGGGGACCCATACCCAGCAACTTTACATACTTCATGGCACCCATACAAAGAAAATAAATACAGCACCTGGAGATCCACACTCCGGGAGCTCGCCACCCAGTAGTTGAAGCCTAAGACGATGATGCACGCCACCAGGGCAGCCAGCACGAGGGGTGATGACTTCATGCTGCGGCGCGTGTTCCCCAATCCCATCATCTCAGAGCTGGGGCTGGGATCTGCCAAATGAAAACATGTACACAAGCCTCAGTGCTGGCATCCCCACCCCAAAGCCGCCGCAGCCCACAGGGAAGGCCTTTGTCCCGCCCCAGACAGGCTCAGGCCGGGGGCCAGCACCCACCATGCTCAGGCTTCCGACTCTTCTTCTGTTAATGGGTGTCACTACATACTCACCTCCCCATGTAAGTGTGAGAAATCATCAGACACTCCTGCAAATGGCAGTGGCCAATACTGAGTGCTGCCACTCACAGTGGAGGGAACACATCGCCTGTTATTCCCCAGAGGCCTTGCAGATCTGACTCCTAACAAGGGAGGCTTTCTACATCCTTGCATGGAATTACTAATGAGAGCCCATTAAAGGAAATCCATTCCCCAGGTGCATGTCAATCCCCGTGGAGGTCACGGCCAGTGTCACTGCTCAGACACAGCCCTGGCAGCAGCATCAGTGTGTCTTCCTCCATGATGGTGATGGGGCTGTGAGGCGTGTGCCCGGCTGAAGCCACCCGGAGCATGCCCCACGTTAGCACTCAGAGTGGGCATAAGGCAGTCCACTGTGCCAGCGAGCGCACTGTGCCCTCTGCATGCTGGTTTCTGTCACTTGAAAGTGTGCGGGTGGCCCGGGATCCAGGCACTGCCTGAACCAGGGGACTCCGCTTTTCCATTTGGCTTCTGCGGGGCCACGTGAACAGAACCTTATCAGGGCGAGAGCAGCTGCACTGCCATCATCGGTCCCTCTGAGAACAGAGTGCCTTTTGTGCCAGGTGTGGCCAGTGGGGAGTGGGGAGGGATGAAGGAAAGGAGAGAGGAGGGGACCACCAGGAACTCACCTGCATGACAAAGTTTCCAGTAGTGAGAACACATGAGAGCTGACAGAGCTGACTGTCCCCCTACAGTCTTAAGTGTGTCATCAAAAGGCACCTTCTTTCTTATAGCTAGCTACTCGTGTGGGACCTGAGTGGGGGTAAGTCAGCAGTGTGGCTGAATCATCCACAGTAAAGCTCCGCTAGAATTCCTCTACGTAGAACAGAGGACCGAGCCTGGTCTCCCCTCATGCCTTACTCACTACCTTCTGGGCTCTCACGATGAAAGAGAAAAAAATTTTTTAATTCAATTATCACCATATCAGCAAGCACTATATATACTAAAGGACAGCAATGCTCAGAAATACTAAACTTCTAGAAGATTCTACAGATTTATTGACAATGTCTCCTCTTCCTGATACGTGACTTTGATCACAAAAGTCTTTTTTTTCTTTTTTTAAACTCTCCCTAACCTTTTTAAAAATATGAAAGTACAAATACAATGAGGGAGAGGGAGGAACCACACAAAGTATAAAATTACATCTCCCTCTTTCCACTCTGAAGTAAAGGGATAGTATTTTCTGATGTCTGTATCTTTCTACTCCAGTGGTCAACTCTCAAAGGGTATCAGAATCACCTGGGACACTTCCTTAAAATACCAAAACCTGGGTCCCACCCCATATTTCTAATTCAATGGGTTCAGGGCAAAACCCAGATATTGGTATTTCTTTAATCTCCCCAGATGATTCATACATGGAGCCACTAGTCTAGATGTCATTCCAGATGCTTCTTCATGCATATGCAAGTATTAATATACGAACTCAAAATTGAGGGACATTTTATGAAACCTGACCAGCACAGTTAATAAGATAAATATCATGTTTATTTTTAATCCTAACACAATCACACCATTCACTGTTTTGGAAATGTTGTGCACCTCTTAGTAACACATTATGTATTATGTACTTCCTAGTAGCACATTACTGTTTGTTCTCTTCAAAGGGCTGAATGGGTCACCATTATATACCAGGATTTACTTCACCAATCTCCTACAGAAGAATGTTCAGGGTTCTCTATGCTTATTTCCAATAATGCTGCCATGGACACCCTTATACATCCATCCCTGTTTACAAACTCTTATCTAGGTGTACAGTCCCTTATGCATAATTCTGAAATCCAAAATGCTCTAAAAACTCAAAGCGATTTTTAAAAACTCTTCTAGCAACAAAACCTGACCTGAACTTAAATCAAGGTTTGATCAGAACTCATCTGAAGCTATTTATAGTCTTTAACTTTCTCCTTTCATACATTCCACTGCAGGAAGATTAGTGTTTGATTATGGGGTGCTGTTCCAGATCCTCCTGGGGCTGTCACATAAAATGTATTAAACGAACCTCATTATCTTCTGAATTTTGAAAAAAAGTCCTGAATTCCAAACACATCTGGCCTCAAGGGGCTTGAGGGTAGAATGGTGAACCAATGGGTATGTGAAGCACTGTTCAAAACAGGGGCTTCCATCAGCTCAGGGAACGTTACCACCCCCATTTTGCAGGCAATGAAATAAATTACAGACAGCTGTGCATAAATTTATGCAAGTGGAATTGCTGGGTGTAATAATATATGCTTTTAAAATTGATAGAGCTTATCTCTCCCAAAACAAATTACAAAGGGAAAAATAGTACCTTTATATGCAGAATCCTGGCAGACACCACCTTAGCCAAGTGATCAAGGCTGATATCACCAGTAACGAGGCACACTGGCATCATGTACCCCCTGATATAATGCACCAGAAGGGCACATCACCTCTGTGATCTCCTGCCCAGTAATGCATAATCTCAATCCAATCACAGGAAAATTTGGAGGAAGTCAAATTGAGGGACAGTCTATAAAACACCTGACCAGCACAGTTAGCAAGAGAGTGCCAAGTTAATCTTTTTTTTTTGACTGGTAAGGGGATTGCAACCCTCGGCAGGGTGTGGTCTGCACCACGCTCAGCCAGTGAGCGCACCGGCCATTCCTATACAGGATCCGAACCCGCGACATCGGCACTCCCAGCGCCGCACTCCCCCGAGTGAGCCACGGGGCCGGCCCCAAGTTAATCTCTTAATTCTGATAAATCCTATCATTATGGAAGATGGCAACATAAGGGGAAACTGGATGAAGGATATACGGGGAACTATCTGTACTATTTTTGCAACTCTTCCATACGTCTAAATTATCTAAACACTTCTTTGATAGATCTTATCATAACAGCTTCCAAAGCAGTCCCAATAATTTACCCCTCCCATCAACAGTAGGAGAATGCTTGCTTTCTCACATGATAACACACAAAATAAACTTTTAATGCCTGGCTATCTCATCAGTAATGATATTTTGAAATACATT